CCCCAAAGTGAGAAAGGTGTGGGTCTGGGGATTGGGGGGACGGTGGGAGAGGGGGGAAAAAGGGGGGTGGGAGAGCAGGAAAAGGGGTGCTATGGGGGTCCCTCGGTGTCCCCCATCACTGGAGCCCTGCAGTGGTTCCCTGGGGCTCGGGAGGGGGGTGGCGGGGGGACCTTCACTGAGGGGTCCCCAACCCTCCTGTCCATCGTCGGGGGGCGGATGGGGGGGTTCCCCCCCAGCCAAGAGCCGGTGCTGCGGTGGCCGTGGGGCAGAGGGGGATGGGAAAGGGGGGTCCGGGGTGGCCCCCTGAACTCCCGACCTGCTGTGGGGGGTTGTGGGATGATGGGGGGGAATGGGGCACCCCCTGCCCCGTGTCCTGCACACACAGGGGTGTTCCAGCAGATGGGAAAGAATGAGTGTTACTTCATCAACGGCACCGAGCGGGTGAGGTACGTGGAGAGGATCATCTACAACCGGCAGCAGGACGTGCACTTCGACAGCGATGTGGGGGTCTTTGTGGGGGACACCCCGTTTGGGGAGATCCAAGCCAGGGACTTGAACAGCAAACAGGAAGAGATGGAGTACAGACGGGCTGCGGTGGACACGTTCTGCCGGTACAACTACCAGGGGTCCACCCCGTTCCTTGTGAACCGCAGAGGTGAGCGCGGGGCAGAGCGGGTCCCCTCGGGAATTTTCCTGCCCCGGGAACGTCCCTGGAGCCCCTGAAACCCTCCCTGGCAATCACCCCAGACCCCTCAGCCCTCCCTGTGCCCATCCCCCTGGCCTTGGGCTCCATCCCAGTGTCCCCCAGTCTATCCCAGCCTCTTCCTATACCCCCCGAGTCCATCCCACTCTCTCCCAGTGCCCCTCAATCCATTTCGATCCATCCCAGTTTTGCCCAGTGTCCCCCAGACCATTCCAGTCTCTCCCAGTGTCCCCCCCCCTTCCGCCTCTCTACCCAGCTTGGTCCACCGCCCCTTCGCCCAATCAGAGCGCGTATCTCTGATGACTCATCAGTTGCCGGGCAGACCCGCAGCGCAGAGTTCCCTCTCAAGGACTCAGCCTCCCAGTCCCGCTCGGGTCCTTCCCCGTCCCTCCTGGTCATTCTCAGACCCTCTCACTCCACTCCCAGACCCTGTCACTTCATTCCCAGTCATTCTAAATTCACTCCCAAATCTCCCAACTCTCTCCCCAGTGACCCCCCAGCCCATTCCCTTCTACCCCACCCCCTCCCAGTCCCTTCCAGTGTCATCCAAACGCCTACCAATGCCCTTTAAACCCTCCGCCCTATCTCCCAGTACCACCCCCCGCACCAAACCCAGTGTGTCCCCCGT